CTGCAATCAAATTGCCCAGCTCAGTGAACAAGCCAACGATCATCTACGCTACCTGAGCTACCAGCATTTTACTCTATAGAAAATTCCTTTTGCTTTGGGAGAAGGAAGATTTAACGAAGTGTTCAGCCACAAGGGCTGCCTCTTCGGCGACCCTTCGGCAAAACGCCAACGAATGCGGATAAACGCCAAGCAGAGCGAATAACATGCTAGTTTTCGGTTGAAGGTCAATAAATTCTCCGCTATACTAAATTGATTACCCTTCACATGATCATTCAAGCTCCGTATTTGCCCTCACGGAGGAACGATTTTTATGGGGTTCGGTAGTCTTGCCTTTTTAAACACAGACTGTTTTATCTCTTCACCTTCCCTGACGCTACTGAGTTATAGTCAGAAAACAAGAAGGTGACCAGAAAAAGTGTGTATTAACGCAATTACAACTTTCTATTTATATGATTCACTTGTGATCGTATTTGAGGGTCGATCCGCTCTCAATCAACCAGTGTCTCTTGCACGCCCACACCGGTTCTCTGGCGGTTGTTCCTTCGTCTCGGTTAATCATAGATGGCTGTCTGTGCCTTGGCCATCGGGTGAGCGTGAACTTCACGTGTCCCTTTTTGACCTTTCTCTGGCACATGATGAAATCGGACGTGATTCAGACGTGTGGGCGTAATCGCACGGCACTGTTTCACATGATTGTTCCTCTGCGCAGTAGGCTGATGTGCAGACGTATCACAGACCATCTTGCAAAGATGCTATATGCGGCCACTTATTGTAGGCTGAATCGTACTTGGTGGAGACCTTCTTGCGAGAAGTGTCTCCGGAAAAACGATTACTGTACTTTTGAACAGCTTTCTGCAGTCCACTGCTAATACTCAAAAGTGTAATATGGAGCTGTTGGTGTTTGGCAACAGCCTGATCACTTTAACTCAGCTGCTATGGAGCCTTCTACCTGGTTTCCGCATTGACCTGTGGGAGTTTTGTCTTTGGTATGTCATTTTTCCCAAAGAATTTTCCCTCCCTGTCTTTCGATAAACATTTATTACAAAAATTCCAGAATTCACGACATCGAACCTACATAAGTCGCTCAAGGGCTTCGACGTTACCCTACCGCGCACGCTCCGCATTTGTACCTTTGGCATTTGGCCATACAAAAATTAAATGACAAGCCTAAAATGGACATGGATTCTGCACACCAACTTACCTCTCCTCTCAATAGCTTCACTTCTCACTGCAACTCTTCAAAAGTTTTCATCGCAGTAATTCTCCTTACTTGACCGAAGTTCCTTGAACGTAGTTCCCTTTGGAGGTAGCCGAGAGATGTGGGTTTTCCGACGGATGTATTCTTCCTTACACAAACTTCCTCCTGCTAAGGTCAGTCGATGCCCGCCAACTTTCGTATCTATCAGGTCATTCAAAACAATAGTGTAAGGTGTTGGAGCTCGAACGTCTAACTTGCGAGACAAGCATGTTCTTACTACGTTGCAAGCACACACATTCCGAACTTGAGTTGTCACATCTGATCGAGTTAGTGAGTTCGCACCCTACGTCTCGGACGGCAACCCAGTCACTGCCTTGGTGTGTCTCAGATCCAAAACATGTCCTCTAATGTGAAAACCTGGCTTAACTCTAATGATCCAGATTACCGAATAGTTGTGAACGGAGCGAACTGATAGGCCTGAGTTGGATGGTTATGGAGGGTTACTTCTGGCTAAGAAACCTGTCAACCCGTAAGAGCAGCTTCCTCGTATTGACATCCCTTCAACCGTTCATCCCCTTTATTTAAATGAACGATGAATAGACTAGTATCAAATAGAATCTCGCTTTGGTCGTTTGGTTAGTCCAGGAGAAGTTCAGTGAATAGAGTACACACTAACTTGTATACCGGTAATACTACCGATGTGGGTGGCATGCCAGTAATATGTTTTTATCTTGTAAATTCGCTTGAAAAGGGGCATCTATTTCGGATTTGTGGAGTTGCTTCGTAGCATTTGCTTGAACTTGAGCAACACTCAATGAATATCCAGGAAAGTTCAGGAAAACGCGTTCAAGAGAAGATGGATGCTCAGTTTTCGTAATTAAGATGCATATGAGGGTTTTGCTGTCCAGTCCAGTAGTCTGTAACTGGTCTGTTGGCATGCTTTAATAAATAACTCCGCAGCAAATGACTGTTTCCTTTCACCAGTATTCTAGGGAACACATTAAGGCGATTTCTCAGAATGAAGCAAAGGAGGTGAACTACGGTGTCGAAGACCATTAGGGTGACCCAGGGCTATCCTGTTCACCTTTTCCTTAGTTGTGTTCGGATGTAGGTTGTCTTTAAAGGGACAAGGTATGCAACTTCCGGCGAAAAACAAGAAAAGCAAGACAACTCGTTGCTTTTTCGGTGAAGTATGATAATAACTGGGTGAGACACGTATGTATCCACTCGGAGTGAATGTATAAATGTGACGTAAACGGTAAACTCATCTTGTCGATTCTACGGAGGTGTTTCAGTGTCAAAGTAGGAGAACCCTTATTAAATGAGAAAATTTTATCATCCTTGTATGAAAGCGAGAGGGACTAGAAATCTTTGCATATTTAGGATATTATCGAGGTAATACTTAAGTCTCCGCTACTTATTGATGAGTATAGAATTTAGCTCCGTTCGCCCAGGGGTTCACTTAACACACTGCGTCCGTTCCGTAGTTCACAGCCATTTTGTTCACACTGAAAGCCAGAGTCGTATCTGTGAGTGTTGGTCTAAATGGCATTTTAAACTGAATGTGACACAAAGGTCATGGCACTTTTCAATGGAAACCGTGTTGATGAGTATGTGTCCTTCCATTAAGTCAGGTTAAAGTGGTAAGAGAGAGAGATAAGATAGCAAGTGGTTACCTCCCTATCGTCACTAAGTGACTAAAGTAGGTGATGGATATTTGAAAGGGTCACGTGGACTTCATCTGAAGTTAGTTTTTTAGACTGACGGTTTCTTGATTCCTACGGAGGGCTTTTGCTAACTGTGGCTAACGAATACAACCAGCTCTAGTAGACCTCTTATTACAACATCATTCTTTGAACGATAAAAAATGAGCCATGTAAAAAAGATCATAAGAATTCGGTGCATAAGGTTCCGAATGTTTGTGTAAACTATTACCTGATTACCCTTGTTGTACCTTGTCATTCCTAATCAAATCCCAAATGATATCATTGACCTCGCAATACGGTTGGTGAACACTTATTAAACAAAATAATTTAGGACCAATGAGTGAATTTGGGTAATAAACGAGAGATTGCGGAATTTTCGGAATATCGGCTTTATCATTCAACCGCAGTAGACGTGTGGCTTAGCACAATCGGATGCGAAACAACTTTGAGACACTGCCAGGTTGACTAAACATGCGAAAGGGAAGACAGGCATGTGACCAACTTCAGAACAACCCGTGTAATTTTGACTGGAGACTTGTTCCTGCAAAGAAAGCTAAGCTGTTCATAAAGTCCAAGAATAGATAAGCAACTGTCCTATTCTTACAGAAAACGATCAGCAGTGCGTATCCTCAGGAGCTGCGGGGTTTCAGTCACAATGCTGATCGGCTGGTCGTGGCTGAGCAGTTATTCGTTCGAAATACTAGCAGAGAGGTCGCTGTTGCAGTTTGGTGTGATGCGGACTGCTGATAATTCCTAATATGAATGAAACAGTTGTACAACACAACGTCATTTTGCAGCGTAGACTGATTTTATTTACAGGACGAAATCTCGATTGAAAATCTCCAGATCTCCCCATACTACCAACTGTTCATCCAATCATTGGATAGATTTTCTAATTTTCTTCACATTCTCCGTTGCACCTTGGGCAGCGATGTATCCGAAGCAAGCATTAGACTGTACGAATACGCGAAAAACCACCAGATTCACTACAAACATAATCTCCACATATCTGAATTTATGGGTTCCAGATAGGTATGTGACTCTCTGGTGTTACAGTCTGCTCATCAGTTTCACAACACTACATTCGCGTTCATGACTTGCGATATAATTCCTCAGGGCTCCAACCTATGTTCACTTATTTCTCATTTGGGTGCAGGATATACCACAGCATGAGAATAATATGCCTTGGTTTCGACAAATGTACTCACTTGCAAATCAATTTGGTTTTTACTCAACTGAATCTCTCGTTTATGATATTCTACAACTGAATGTGCTGCACACAAGCCGTCTCATCTTTCAGTTGGCACGATATTCGAGATATCGCAGTGTATTTTCATAAAGAAAACTACTCACAAGTTAGCGGAAAGCTCTTCGGCAGCCCACGACCGGGTTCGTTCTTCTTGTGGCTCATCAGGTAAACGCAGTCCCAGAGTTTCCGTCAACCTCATGTCTTACTTGAACCCAAATTGGACTGTTTTTGAGAAATAAACTAATTTGCAACTCGATTTGATCATCACGAGAGATTCAACCTAATCCCTCGTTTATGATATTCTCCAACGGAATGTGTCGCCCCACGTTTCGTTTGCTACGATATTCGAAACATAGCAGTATATTCCCATAAAATAAACTACCCACAAGGTTTTTGTCGAAGAGTTTTCAGCAATCCTGTGAGCAGTTTTCTTCATGGAAATATACCTTGATATTCGATGCAGGACAAGTGGGTGCATATTTGGGCTTACTTCAAGGTTTGCCAATCAACTTTGTCTGAATTGTCAAGTCAGTAGTGCATGTAAACAGGAAACAGCGATTTTGCGTAAAAGACTTAAGTTGTTCTACAAACACCATTAAAAATTGCGAAACTCAATTAAATTCATTCTTGCGATTGCAACGGCTTTGAATGACGTAATACACTACTCATGAAGTTGCTGAAAATTCTCCAACAGCCCACGACCGGTTTCGCCCTTCTTGAGGCTAATCAGTTAGGCGCATCCCCAGAGTTTTCGTCTACATGAATGATCATACGCAACAGATTAGTGTGATATCCAAATTGGTTCCGTAAACTCCAACATCTTTTACTGCTCTGTGTACCTTCTTAGCTAAACGACGGACACCGCGGAAGTGGAATCATTGGATTCGACATGAATATCTACCCACTCTATGCAAGGAACCTTACAGGCAAGGGAATTCGCACCTTAATTCTGGATGATGCAATTGACCGTCTACACTGGGATTTAAAAGATAATTACGACGGCGACATTTCAGTAAATCTGAATGAACCTCAATTCAGAACAGATCCCCGTGGAAGCCATGAGATAATGAAACTTGATGATAGGTAAGTTTACTTTTGTCTAGAATCTGCAAATCTCAGAGCTTTCTGGGAGCTTTTGCCACTCGTGTGACTTTACATTATCTGCACCTACACATACCACCGTACGCCTTTCCCCTCTCTCGGAGAACTGAAAATGCTAACGCTGTTGTTTGCATGTTGGCTTTATTCTTCTCGAGAGAGGAGGCCACATAAGTAAATTTTTAAATCAAAAGCTGAAGCGCATAATGCTTGTTTAGGGTGCTTTGTTTATAGGACCTAACACTCATCTTTGACAAGTTAAATGGCTCAGGTAAAATGAACTGTGACTCTCGAGCGTTTGATGAACGAAGCGGCTCAAACTGGATACAACCCGATCAGGTATGAAGGTTGGCTTTCTATCCGAGTCTATCAATCGGTTTAGTTGAAAACGAACCTATGAAGATTGGTAAATAGTATTTAGCCAGATTTCATAGCACGTCATCATTCCGTTTGCACCTTATCAGCCGCGTACCAACGACAACCAATCAAATTAAACCAAACTATTTACTAAATCAAAACCATCTGGTATCTAGGAAAAGCTGTTGGAGAACATCGAAGAATTCGATCTTACAGGTTTGGAAGATATTAATTTGCCCAGTCGAAGTGATTGTTCCGCTATTTTCAATTTTCTCCATTCTGCATTCTCATAGTGCCACCCTTTGTCTGTCTGTCAACAGGCGGTTCCCCATGCTCACAAAACGTACCTCGTGCGTTACACTCCAATTTCTCACAACAATTCAGTGAAATGTGGTTATACCCCTTTCTATCTCTGTCAACTGCCTATGTTGTGTTTGAGTGTGTGCTAACCAAGGTGGAAGAGACGCGAACTCGAGGAAAAAGTGAATCTTAAGCCAACCTTATAGTTTAGGTATATGCTTGGAAGGTCATTTGCACGAATTTTTGTCATTTACACAGTCGATCAGAAAACGCACACGTCTGCTATTCCTAGACCCATAAACCCCGTGGAAATCTTTCAACGACTGACATATTTCATTAGGGCTTTAGACCTGGTATTCACCGTGAATTATGCACTAAAGCTGATACTAAAAGTGCTTGGTCTGCGTTTACTTATTCTAGAGCTTATCACATAGGTCATTTTCTTGACGAGTTTTCCGTAGCAACCGTCGGCATTATCTTATCCGAAATTCGAGTTTTTATTTGGTCCAGACTATACGGGCATAAAATAAAATAAACGACATAAAATATAAAATAAAATAAAATAAAATATAAAAGCATGAAGTCGGGTATATAGTTCTTTCCACAACATAAGTTTGCCTTCAACTCCTGACTTCCTGACATGCCAATGCCTAATATGCTGATGTGTATGTCTCAATCGATGTTAGTACATAATCTCTTATTGGGCTTTCGTCATATAAGCCTGTGACGATGAAGTGCTGAACCGCTGCCTATCCTTGCTTGGAAGTACAAGCTGTACGAAGGCAGAACTTGCAATCTACTGGCTAGGGGCTAGAGACCAAACCATCTGGCCGTGAGCTGGTGAACGATAGCGTGATTAATTCTCAAGTAGAAAGAACAGAGTATCATTTCTCTTTCAGTCATAAAGTTCATATCACCTAATCTAGCTTCTCGAGTGAGGACTTCTCATATGGAAGATTCAAACGGCTGGTGAACTAGTCTTCTGTTTGAGCTACAGAGCTAAGCATACCTCTTGTCAGCCTTTTGTCACTGAACGCTTGTCCTCAAACACTAACTGGGGATTTTCGAGTCCAAAACTTCTTGGGGTTTTGTAAGAATAGCATTGCTGTTAGTTCCAAAAAGCTCCGAAATTTCCGAGGCAGATTCTCTTCACTGTAATTTCTAGCCCTCCTCATACCATCTCAACTCACCCATAACTAGGCGGATTGTTTTTGTCGATCATGCTAATTCGCTTTTACACACTATCTCAAAGAGGGAGTGGCCTTTGTAATGTACTACTCGTAAGGTTGCTGAAAATCCGTCGACAGCCCACGACCGGTTTCACCCTTCTTGGGGCTCATCAGGTAGGCGCAGTCCCCGGGTTTCCGTCAACTTATGTCCTACTTGAAACCAAAGTGCACGAAATTAGCGAATATACACTCATCTGCAAACTAATTTGGTTCATTCTGATGAGCCCCNGCCTGAGAAGATCAAAAACGAGTTTCAGCTGGGTTCCAGGTGACTCTCTCGAATGAATCAAATTAGTTTGCAGATGAGTGTATATTCGCTAAGGGAATGACCTCTTTGGGACGAAAATTCCACTGTTTGAGAGTTTATTTGCAAGATACTTTAGCCAGAGTTTTGCTGTCACAATTGCTTTCAGCACAGAATTTCTCCCCCTCTGAATGATTCTGTTTCAACGGGGGATTGAAACAGGTGTTAGGCAGTGTAAACGAAATTTCTTATCACTTTCGACGAACTTCATGACCGATTCCCGAGTATCCTTACTGGTATTGGTGAGAGTTATTGCTTACAAACTGTTTCTTGCACATCACTAAAATCTCATTGGTTTTTTCTTCAACCACATTTCTAGCCACGGAACTCAGTGTGCAGGTCTGATTGCCGCCGTGGCAAACAATGGCATTTGCTCGCACGGAGTAGCCTATCAGTCAAAAGTTGGTGGTGAGTTTCTCTGCCATGTAATGTACCGTCCCCATTCATGGCATCATAAGCTGTTTGGACTAAGTGTTCAAGAATTGTAAGCGTATGACAGACACTCTAAATTCGAGTTTTCTTGGCTACTGCTTTCGAAAAACGCTTGGAGAGCAAAGGCGTTTCCGTTTCACCTGTTCGCCTAACAGGAAGCATTGTACTTTTTAAACGTGGAGCTTTTCCAATTCAGCCTGAAAACAACAAGAGGCTAACAAGTGAATCACACTAACCATGGTTCTTAGATCGGCCTCGTTCTATCTCCTGGAGGAGAATAAAGCGGGTATCAGCTGACAGGGTGAAATTGAGCTATACGGGTTTAAAAGCGGTGTTCAGTTACCATTTGTTCCACACTCGTACCCATTCAAGATGAAGTGCGTTGCCGCACGGAAAGCACTTCATCTCTGACCGGTAGACACGTTAAATCAATTGGCTAGGTATTTTCCAAAAGGTCAAGCGGTCATTTTGAGATGTACCACAGACGCTGTCAGTTCTCTGCCTTTGGATAAAAGTAATACTTGTACACTATATTAACGAATTTTGCGCCCAAAAAGACTGTTACTGAGGATGCGATAGCCTATATTACATGAATCAGTTGCCGGGGTCTTCCGTACCATCCTTCAGCAGAAAGGATTTCCTTATTTGCAGGCCCAATAATGCACAGAAGTTCTATCTCCAGAGTGAGAATTATGCTAAAGTGTTCCGCGGGTAACTTTATGTCGCACGTTTAAAAGGAAACAGCCCAGAAACTACTTACCCATAACTTTCTTTCAATCTTTATAATTTGGCCACAGCCCAGTGAAAGCCAACAGATTCAAAAGATTGGATATGAGAAGCCATGGGCAAACTCAAGCCCAGAGCTTACCAGCCACGATCAAGCTAATGGTAGTCTCGCAAAATGCGAATGAATGTCGAACTGCAGAAACACATCAGCTAGAAGTATCCGGAAATCCAGCTTCAAGACGCAAAGTTATAACCAGCTAGCCGATGCACATTTTGCGTTGACGACCTTCAGTCGAGATTTTGATTTCCCAACGTGGGTTCATGGAGCTGCAGTTAAGGTATATTTTAGCTCGGTCAACCATCTGCGCTACCTGAGCTACCAGCATTCTCCTCTATATTCTAGCTTTTTAGCATGAGTTGTTCATGCCACCTACTTCTGTTAGTTGGGAATCGTTTGGGACCGATTGGATGGTCATCGTCCCAGAGAAGACTGATAAACGGTCGGTGGATTTATTGTCAGGCAACGTTTCCTTTTTGACGCAAAAGCTTCTTCACACCAAGTGAGTAAGTTGGCAGTTTGATCTGGTTTTGAGACAGTCAGGGAAATAATCGGAGAGATTTCTTATGACTAGTCGATTTGATCGGAGCTGACTGTCCGTGTGAAGTTCCTATTGCTTGGTTGGTAGAGAGGACTAAATCTCACTTAGGCTGAATCCGGATTTTAGGCTCTTGCTTTGACGGTCTAGCATACCTTCATGGACTATTCCTCATGGGGGGTCGTTCACAGATTTTGATCGTTTGTGTGCATTGAGGGGCGTTGTGCTGCTCCTTGGTAGACCTCCTCTGTGCACCGTGGTCTTACTCCACTAAACATCGTTGAAACCATACCAGCATAGACTGCTTTGGGTGTGTTTAGGAGTAGTTTGAGACTATACCATTATTTGTTGATTTCCGGTACGCAGTCGTTTTTTATTTTCCACCAGTCGTGTGTGTTATAAATCAAGGAAGTTTAGTGTACCCTAGGTGGGCTCTGTCTTCATAAGTTAATGTGAAGGTCCAGAGTGTTAAGATATTCAGGGAAGTTGTTAAATTTATCACCCTCTAAAAAGGTGACTTCAGGACAGTGGATACGCAGTGGGTTTAATTAAGAGGATGTTGGTCACAACATCAAGACCCAACAAACAGTGGATCGGAAAAGCAGTCATTCCGTACCAAACAGGGACATTTGAAGTTAATTAAAGGGTGGCTAACATTTGAGCAGCATCCCAGAAGGTAAAGACTACGCTCAGTAGTGGTGCATTTGAAGGATCGTCTTCAGGTGGATAGGACAATGGACTGTGTGTACAAAATAAAATGAAACGACTTTACGAAGGTTTACATGGGTCAGACATCCAGGAAATCGCATACCTGAATCGCACACTAACAGACTATCGAGAAACCTAGATGAATATTAGGCGGTGGCCAAAGATTCGGCAATGGCAGGGCATGTAGTGGACAGTGAACGCAGGAAAATGTGGAAATTTTGAGATCGGGAATAAGGTTCACTACACAGGGACTGATGACTGAGGCGGTGGAAATCACCAAGCCTCCCAGCATGAAGCGAATAAAGGGCGTGTTGAGAGCGGAATTAGATCACGTGACATGACACGAGGTTTTGTGCAGTTGTCACTAAAGTAGTCTGGGTTTAAAAGTACGAAATTCAAGCACTGTAAGATCCGCTCAACCACCCCTCCAACCCCGACCTAATTATCCTGACAACTCTGGACGCACACAGTCGTCTGTGTGAGCGACCCCATGAGGGTGTGCTAGACTGGAAAAGTAAGGCCCTAAACTCCGGATTCAGCATGAAGTTAACGGCCGCCCCCATTCAGTCTACGGTAAACGTCAATCCTCCTCACTAACCAGCAAACAGGGACTTCATATGGACATTCAGAACCGATCAGGTCGGCTGGTCGTAAAAAGTCTCAGGATTGGCTCCCTGAATGTCTTAAAGCCCGATCAACCTGCCAAATTACTTACTTGGTGTGACGAGGCTTTTGTGTCCTTTTCGAAAAGTTACCCAGCAACAAATCAACCGACTGAAACTAGTTCTGTTAGTTTTCTCTACATGTAGGTCATCTAAACCTCCATGCATAACACGTCCCGTTTAGCTTATAATCCATTATATATAACTATAATTATTAATAGTAATAATAACCCATTCTGTTTGTTTTCCTTTAATAAAGCTGTACGGATGCTTGCGGGACCTGTGACGGATATTTTGGAAGCAAACGCCTTATCATACCGCCAGGAAGTGGTGGATATCTACTGCGCTTCATGGGGCCCTAGTGACGATGGGCAGACAATGGATCTACCAAGAAACCTGACAGGAGCAGCACTTGCTAGAGGATCTCAGTATGTGAGTCTTAATCTAACAGGAACGTGATAAGTTAATTCAAATTCTTCACATGTTTTCCACTAAAGAATGACTTCCACTATCCTCTGAAACCCACTGTTAGCTACCAACGGCGTGGTATTTTCACCTCTGGCTTGCCAAGCAACAATAGGATACGTTACTAAGGATTCAAAATGCATTCTAAAATCTGGAACTCGCCCCCTCTGAGTGGGCACAAAACGTACAACACGTACCCGTTACGACAGCCTGGATATTATTTTATAAATTTCACGTAAAATAATTTGCGCTTAACGTGGAGTGTTCAACCGTCATTGTCATCATTACTATAGACACTGCGTTACATCACCGGATAGAGTCAGGTGCCTTTTTGTCCTTAAACCTGAACTGCATAGTCAACAAACGGTTGGAGGGTCGCGCCTAATTTTTCATCCACCCCAATGGAACATTGACAATTTTGCTTCCTTCTTGATGGCAACAACCTTGTAAAAATTTGACTAAAAACAACTTCACAAAAAAAGCCAGGTCCTATCGGTGGCCAAAATCTCCAGTTCAAATCAGTAGGGACTTAGAGCATTCGTGCTGCCACGCAAAATGCCTCCAGTGAGTTGCTTTGATCTCACATCACGTCAGTGCCATCCGGCCTTGGTCAAGCATTGTGGTTGGAGCCCGGGCTTTTGCACTGCACACAGTCATTTCCGTACGTTCATTGTTGAGACACAACCTACCGTTTTGGGTTTGTTTTTATTTCAATCAAAGGGACGCGGAGGACTTGGTTCGATTGTTATCTACGCATCTGGAAATGGCGGATCGGTCGATCACTGTGGTGCAGACGGATTTGTCAGCTCTCCCGAAATTATCGCAGTCGCGGCACTCACCGACGAAGCCGATCAGCCCTTGTATGGAGAATCTTGTTCGGCCACAAGAATAGCTGTACCTGTTGCCGGATCAAGTATCTTTGTTACAAGCGGGAGTAATATTCTGGTAAGCCGTATGCGATCTGGTTTATGCGACTACGATGTTTTGGAACCACAGTCAACAAACCAAATACTCTACTTATATTGCTGGCTGAGTAGTTCCTTCGACTATAGTATGGTTAAGCATTTCCCTAGTACAAACGATTATATCCCAAGTGTAAATAATTCCAATGTTTTACTTCCCAGTGACGTTTTTCACATTGCATATCTCTAAGATACAGTCATATCTTTGTTGTCGTTTGAAACTAGTGGTTAGCATTACACATAGATTAATTATACCTTAAGCTCCAATTAGAATAGTTAATTTGCCCCGTGGTTTACTGCGGTCGTTTCTAGTTCATCTGTTGACACTTTCTGATATATTTCGAATGAAGTATGTTCGATTCTCCGTTAATACTCACTTGCTAACTCGTTTTACTGATTTTGCTTGCTATTCTGCTCTAATTTTTGCTTCTGGTTTCGTTTGGGAGAGAGTGCATCTGCTCAGCCACATTATTGGCAGTGACATGTGCTCAAAAGCTTGGGTCACACAAAGAATGCAGATTTGATGCCGTTTATGATACAACTTTTGGTGTACTAAGGCTAAAATAAGTATATCTAAATTTTGTCAGCTTTGTAGCTACTCCAAACTGGTAAGTGAAATTTTGTGGCATGGTAAGATCGAAAGTTGTCAGAATATTCTGCGACCCTCCTCCGACTGCATTGGTGGACAATGAGCACATCGTCCCGACACAAAACTTACCATTTTCTCTGAGCATTATACTGGTAACCTGTTAACGAGAGCTGCACTAAACTTATTTGGGACAGACTGGTGCCAGAGGTCAACTGAAGGCAGGAAACAGTGGTCATCAAGTACATCCTGGTTCCGTTGACATAATTGCTTATTCTTATTCCGACCGGATACAGCTGAACGTCACCACTGATTTATATGGCCACTTTATAAAAAGAACTTCCGCAGACCTCACATGTATACACAGAATCATCCGGCACTTGCTTTACGCTTGGTAATGTGTTGGAATAGTGGTGGGTACCTGTACTGTGTATACACAACTCAAACTTTGAAATTTGTAGACTGATTTTCTGAACACAATCATTATCGAGCCCGGCCAACACAATTGCAACTACAGTGGTATGGTTGGTAAAATGGTCACAGCAGACGATCAGTGTTCTGAAAAATGTTATCCAAACTAGTAGTTTATATCCCGCCGATTTCATGTCACTTTTTGGTCACAAACATTTTGATTGAATTCCAATTACCATTTTTGCCGTAGCCTAGTACAACGTTAAACAATCAATGTACCATGCATTTTGTGGGGACCTCTGCCGCTGCACCTTTGGCCGCCGGTTGCTTTGCTTTAGCTCTCGAAGTGAGGTAAGCTTTAGTTGAACTTAACCGTGCAAAAAATGCCCCTCACCATATACCGTCTGTTCATCTATTGTGCTTCATAATTTTTGTAAAACTTGGTTCGGGTGATGTCCTGTGAAAAGGATGTATTTGTAAACACGCTAAGTTTCAGCACAATTAAAGGTTCGCTCATGGGTATCTCCGTCCTGGGGTATAAACATACTGTCCCGCTAGTCACATCAAGACAAAGAAATTTTACTTTGGTGCTTTGTGAGATCTTTGGAAGAAGCCAAGTGTGACAGGTGGTAGTAGCTCTAGCAACGTCCGCCATAAACGTCGAAGTGCCTTCTCCGCCGGTTCAAAGTAATATGAGTGGACTCAGGCATATTAGACGATAGTTATTGGTACTTCAGCCAATTTCACCTCAAACGTTTTATCAACTATTTATATACTAGCTGGTTTCGGTGTTTAAACCTCACGGAATTTTTAAGACTTGCGTACAGAGAACAAGGAATGAAATTCATCTTCCCCGACGTCAGTTTCTTCCAAGCATCGATCTTACCTAGTCAAATCGCAGTTAGTACTTGGAAGGCATATGCCTCTGTAATACATACGTAACATCAAAAGTTGCTTCATATTGGTCTAGCATTGTTTTTCACGTTATTCACGAAAACCGCACATAAGTTGTCAAAAAGCAATCGAATGCACTCATAGTGAATCCAGCATTTTGGCTTTGTACCTTGCTTCACTTCCTCTTTGAACATCTGTTTTGAGATACCTCGCTTTACAATGGATAGTTCTGGATGAAAACAACTGGACGTACAGTACTCCTTCTTAGAAGAAACCTTAAAGTCCAAGCAAATTCGTTTTTAATAGGAGGAAGCCGTAATACGAGACGGCGACGGGACACGAGCACACGTTCGTACCAGAGCGAAGTCAGCTAGAAAGTCAACCAGTTCAACACATGGTCCATATATCATCTATTTCCATATCGCGTTATATACTAGTAGAAATATAAAGACCGTAGTTAATCTTCTTCACTATTCCAGTTATCTCCTTTACTGAGCTGGATCGAAGAGTCTTGAGCGGCATTTCATACAATCTTTAGTGAGCATCTGTTCACTACTACTCAGTTACTCTACCTAGCCGCCTAATCACTGTTAAATTTAATAGGTGCAAGTGTGCAGCACATTCTCGTTGCACTTACGTTACTTTCCACTCGAAAAAAACAAACTCAGCTCAGTGTTCAAGTAGAATATGGTTGATGGAAACTCGGGGACTGCGCCTACCTGACGAGCTCCAAGAAGGGCGAAACCGGTCGCGGGCTGTGGAACAGTTTTCAGCAACCTTGTGAGTAGTTTCCTTCATGAAAATCAGCTCAGCTTCACTCATTGTCTGTATCGTTTTGGTTAGTACGTCAGAATGTTTGCCACCAACGACAAAAAGTAGCATCTTCATACAAGCAATTTCAGGATGCACTCGCTTGAAATGACCAGAACCCCTCGATACACGCCTCAGTAAATTTTCCCATGTTTTGCGTCATCCCACTGCACATTTGAACATGATTTGTCATTACCTAATTGCATATAAACTTTGAGGTATTATACATTCCTCATACATTTGACCAACGGTCAACCTCACCAGCTGAAATGCCATCATCGTTGTTACTCAAAAAGCAACCAGTTTCACCATACAGCTAAGGTTTCATTCAGTACATGCCAAAACGTTATACACCCAAATCTGCCATAACTTTAACCCCTAACTCAAGCAAAAGTACAAACGCTGAGGAGCTGTGGCATTATTCCTTTTTTAAGGTGGTAACAAATAGTACCCATGAAATAACATCTCGCTGAAAAACATACCGACAGAGAAGCTCAGTGATACGGTTGGAATGGCTTACATGAGGAGAAAGCAAGCAGCTATCGACCTGATATGGGATACGAAAAATAGATGATATAACACTACCTATTTTATGAAGTTATTCAGGTGGAAAGTTTGACAACCGTTGGTAACTAATTTACTTAGACCTCAGGCGGCAACTTATCGCATTTTCCTAAGAGGTAACAAGCGTCAATTAAATACTCCACGTGACATATCCGGGGTAGATGAAATAGTGACTATGCCTTGCAATCTTGAATTCTACTGATAAGAAGGGAAAGCGTATTCCACATTGTAAGGTACGCTCTGCAGGCAGTATCTCATAGGTTTTAAATGGGCTTCTTATCACTCCTTAAGCCGTCTGATTGCTGGATTATTTGCGAATAAACATTTTTAGTTAATATTGCACGATGTTAGTGCATAAAGGCGTGTTGTGCCGTTGGGCAAACCCATATATATATATATATATATATA